CTAATAAATTTGTTAGTCTCTAAGGTGCCACAAGTACTCCTATTCTTTTTATAGTTCAGTGCAATACTTGAGCCTGTTTTTCACTTGTGAGCCTTGTCTGAATCCCAAGTCCTGCCCCCCAGGACTGAAGCAGGTAACTTAACTTCACAGGAGGCCCCTATGGCATGGATCGCCGGGCAATTGCCCTGCATGACACCTCCTAATGTCGTCCCTACACTTGCATCTGAAGAAGTGAGGTTCTTACCCATGAAAGCTTATGCTCCCAATACTTCTGTTAGTCTTAAAGGTGCCACAGGACCCTCTGTTACTTGTCCCTACACTTGTGACCACCCCCCCCAAACCCAGCCCATGACCACCGTGGGGGCTGCATCCCCCAGGTCGAGAAACACTTATCTAGATGAGTTGAGTACCCCCTGGAAGATCTCTGAGTACCCCCAGGGGTACATGTACCCCTGGTTGAGAATCACTGGGCTAGGACACTTACTATAGTGTAGAAAAGGCTTTTCTGTTCCTCCCTGCTCCCCATTTAGAATGCTATGCTTTGCCTTCACTCGCTTGGTGCCCCGGACTATGAGTGCAGGATGGTGTCACCTGAGGCTGTAAAACCTCAATTGTCAAAGGAGGTTTACCACAATCTTGGGATTGTCACAGTCAGCAGGGATGTCCTGGGCATGCAGAAATGTGGCATCTACTCAAAGATGAAGAGGGACTTGGATGGGGACTTGTACAGGTTATTTTGCATATTGTTACATTAAACCTGTGTCCAACTCTGCCAGAGAGATCAAAATAAGGTCATGACTATTGTCAGAGTCTGATCTTATAGCTTACAGCCTTACAGTAACGGAATGGGATAGCAGGGATACACAGCTCTCTGGTCATCTCTCTGTTAAACACTCACATCCTTATGCATCCAAGAAGGCACGGGAGTTTATCAGCAGCAACCTAGTCAGAGGAACGTTGCCATTTGTTGTGTAGCTTATGCATGATTCATTACTGGTTATAAAAAAGTCTGGCACCCCTCCAGGTTCTTCTCTCCTCGATGGAAGAACTGTATCTTCCTTTGCATGCAAGCTTACAAGATGCAGAATTCCACCTGACAAAGTCTGCTTCATTTCACCCACTTACTTGCTATTTTGTTCCACTGACAGAGGGTAAAGCAGTTATTGAAAGATCCTTAGGCAAGAAATTTCCAAAATTATTTGCCCATCTCTTTACTAATGGTTCTTTTCCATGGTGCCAGTAAGTCATGGCAAGTCATTTGTGTAGGACACCAAATAAGTCTCTCCTTGTATTGAATTGTTTGGACAAATAGTTATTTAGCAGCCAGCAACGTGAATGGATAAAGACTGCATTGACCCCTTAGCCCATGGTCTAATCCGACAGCCTGTAAAGCCAATCCTGCCAGTCTCCTATTAATTCCAGTGGCAATTCCCTACATGGAGAATTTGCAGAATTAGACTCTGGTCTTCTTGCTTAGCGGGAGTAATAGCAGTGAGCCCATGTGAAACTTGGCTAACAGTAATGAACTACAGTTGGATTACAGAAAGGCCATTAACCTCAACAGACTAAGGTATAAACTGCTAGTAATCTTTTCTCCTGGTTTGAACTACAGACTCAGCCTTTGGAGTGTGATAAGTTTGTCCCTTTAAGAAAAAACAAATCCTCAATCTGTTATTGGGTGAGATTTTGTGTGCATTATACCTTATTTATGGAGCAACATTACTGGGGTTAGCTCTGTACACACAGACATAGACCTGTTATAAGGATATTACAGTGTAAATTACACACTGGAAAAAGTGTACACACAAATAAACGCAGTATCCAAGAAGAGATTGATAATACCACAGTGTGAATTCACATTTTCCACTCATGCTCCTTCATGCTTTTTGGAGTAATTATCTAAGAGCCTCCTAGAATAAATGTTTTAAGAAGAGATTTGAATGAAGAGAGGAGGGATGTGTCCTTTTTTTTTGTAAAAGGAAGGAAAGAGAATTCTAAGCAAGAGGTAGTATGGAAGGAGACAAAGATATTTAAGAGGGTGGCTTGGAAGGAACAGAGGAGTAGGAAGAGGAAGAAGAAATTAAACCTGAGAGGTCAGGGTGGAGTTGAGCGGGGCTTGGGAAAAGAAGATGAGAAGTATGGGTTTGAGGTGGAAGGTGAGAGGAAGTGAGTGTGGAAATTCAAAGAGGAGTGACCTGGTAAGAGTGGATTTTATCAGCCATATTTTGGATATATTGGAACTGGACAAATGACATGCAGGCACGGCAGCAGATGAGATATATTCCTTACGATGGTCTGAAAATTGACTTCCTGTGGTTTATTACAAAAGCTAGTTGTTTGCACTTCATCACGTTCCTTGTCAACTCCCTGTCTAGAATCATCTCTTTTCTATTATTAATTTTAAAACATACCATAAGATGTTATTTGGTTCTGATGCTGATTTTTATAGACAGAATGGAAGAGTGAAAGCCCCCAGGAGCTTACGAACACACAGAGCACCCAGTTAACCACATTGTGATATTGACAGCTGCAAGGTACACTTTAAAAAAAAAATACAGTTCCATCATTAACCCTTCCTAAGAGTCAAGCAAAAATGTATGCTTAGACATCAAGATGACAGCCAATACCTCCGAATAGCAGTGCTTCACCATCTGCCCTAACACCAGTAGTGTGCCTCCTCCACACCTGGATATATATAGTGCCAGGTGTCTTCAGAGGTTTTCCTCACACTTGGGGAATGAGTCTTTACTTGGCACATTTCTGATTCACACACAAAGCAGCACCTTGTTATTCACAGTATTCCAACCCAATGGGTACTCCACTCGGTGCTCCTGTACAGAGAAGCTTCCTACCTAGTGCAACAGTACTGAAAGACCTCATTGTTCGTGGAACCATCTCTGACTACTTACTTATGTTTAGTGAAGTGCTGAGAAAGTATAATACATGAGCTTTCTTTCCATGGAATCCTTCTCAGAGCAGGAAAGTCATAGTGTGTTTAAAGGAGACACAAGTGAGGATTTTTCCCTTTGGCTGAAGTGAAAAAACTTCCATTGCTCTTTCCTGGAGCTCTCCCTTAGTTTACTATCAGTGCTGGACTAGTTTATGCTTATTACTTACTGTTAATTAGCTATCCCCGACAGCTATGTCTGGGGGAGTAATTTAAAATGACACTGTAGAATTGACACTCAAGGCTACCTTTGCACTGCTAAATACCAAGCTTTTATTACTCTTACCTCTTTGTAATTATTTTTAATTTCTTCTTGTCTGGTATCTGCTGACGCTGATGACAAGCTGGAGACAGATGACCCTCTGCTGAAGGTGTCTGCTGAATGCTGAGGAGACCTAACTGGAGTCTTTAATCAGGTCAACAAAAACAAAACAAATAAGAGGGTTTACATCCTTATGTTAAACAGCTAAAATGTATGCAAAAGATTAGCAACTCACACTGTTACCTCAGAAGCACTCTGTCCCCTTTCAAATGTTAGGTAGTTTAATTCCATCAATGATAAAATCTGCAGAAAACATATTAATGAAGAGATACAATGTAACTCAATTTTAAGAGGAATTTACTGATGGAAACAGAAATTAGCCAACCACTTAATATCAGCAAAAGAGATTATGATGGATCAGATTAAAGCAACAATTTGCACTGTTTATGTTCCACATTAAAAAAAAACACTGCCATGCATTTTAAGACGTAAAATATGAACTTCCTTTCTTAAAAGTGAATGGAAATTATTTTTAATTGTAAGAGTATATGCCCACATATCCCATTCACAACTAAGCTTCAAATACAGCTAAATCACTGTGGAAATGCATTTTAAAAACCTCCCTGCTAGCAGATTGGGAAGAATACCTTGGAGTTTAATGCACACTGCAGGGAAGTCTCTTTCATCCGGTTTTGAATATCTGGGTTGGCTCCATTCTGCAACAGCACTTCTATTATTCCTTGATAGCCCCAACGAGCAGCTATATGGAGGGGAGTATCTCCTTTTTCGTTACCAGTATCTAGTCTACAAGAGTGTACATCATAATAGACTAAAGCTTTGACACACTGGAGAGAAAAGAAAAGCCACCAATGAATTATAGCACTGGTCCCCAATCCACATAACATGTGCAATCTGAACAGTAATGCTGGTTTTATTGCAGATCCTAGAATCTACTCTCTGGGGTAGGTTTTTGAGGTCCTATCAAATATATATCATTTTTTAAAAGGCCACAATAAATAAACAATGAATACAAGGGACCCAAACAATTAGGCTTTCTAGCGGCTACACCAATGTTAATGGATACCTACATTAAACAAATACTATGATATAATAAGGTGCCAGTTTGTAATATGAATTAAAGAGTCATCCTGCAAAACTGTGTTTTATTTACTTTTTTAAATAAATAAATGTAATCCAAATTGGCATCACAATTTCATTCCATGCAGTAATCCTATTAGGATGTCTATTAAGTTTGTTACAAAACAATTACTTACATCCTCATGACCATAAGTGCAGGCTAAATGAAGTGGAGTATTGCCATTATTGTCTTGAACATCTGTACTTGCCTTATAGTGCAACAAGAGAAGCTAAAAAGAAATTCAACATCTAAGTAAGAAAATTAATGGACAAACAATTGTTACTGCTGTAGCACCCTTTAGGTTTCTAGGATGATGAATTACTATAGTACAAATAGAACCACATCTCTCCTGCTTTAAACCAGTAAGTAAAGATGGCTGCCCTTGGCTTCATGCCACTATTTTGCTCCAGTTCTTGTCACACACTATTTAAAAACCACAGAGTATATCTGCAAACTGACTCTAAATCATCCACTGTAGCGAGGTACTGCAGCACAGATAACATGGATATTCACTCAGTGTTCTAAGAGCACTGTAAAGGCAAAGGCAAAGGCACAATGGGTTTAATTAAGTGCATCATTTCATCCCTCTCTCTGAATTTCTTAGTTTTGAACATCTGAGTTGCTGTAATATTACAAAAAAAAATGTTAAAAAATTCAAGTCTACAACAACTGACTGAACTGTATGATTAGTCTATTTTCAAAACAATGTTTATAGCACTGTATTTACTTGACTGATCATAATAGCTCTTTTGCATCAATCCAGAGCAGAGATTCCACCATCCTATCAGTCTGTGCTAAACATTAGACATGAATTAAAAAACATATTGAAAAATACTATGAATGCATAATCACTAACAACTGAGTTAGTCAGAAATAAGCAAAGCCATACAAATCCTAATCTGGACGAATGGCCTTACAAAAGGTAACTGAAGATAATAAGGCTACTTTGAATTATGGGAATGCAGAAAAGCATATAAATTTGGCAAACCTCTCAAAATCTAGTTTTCAAACTAATTTAGAAAATGTTAAATAGAATTTAAAAAAAAATACTTTAACCAAGAAGACAGAGGGGACAAGAATTTATTCCCAACATGAGATCTTGTAGATCATAAAAAATTGAGACATCTAAATTATAAACCTATAAAGTTTAGCATTTAATTAAAATGCTTAAAGGCCCTGAATTGTGATAGCACACAATTATAATGAAGCTTTTACATCCCTGAACAATGGTATCAGTAGAACAGCAATAGTTAGATTTGTTTTTTCTTCAACTTATATAGGTGTTAAAAAAATTCATTGGTTAAGTCTTTCAGTGCTTACTGTAACATTCTGATATCCTTTCTGACAGGCAAGGTGAAGAGGTGTTGAACCGTGGTAATCTGTAGCATTGACTACAGCTCCTTTGGAAACTAACAGGTCAATTAATGATGCTTGCCCTATGGAAAATATGTGGTCATTAAAACTGAGAAGTAAACATCTCACAGGAAAAGTTACTTTTCAAACTAAAATGAGAATTTTAAACCTTGACACTCTTCATTCTTGTGCACACTGCATATTCGCTTTTTTAGTACTTGCTCTTTGTAATGAACAGTCAATTTACTACAGATTATTCAAGGACACAGCTCAGAAAGGGGGCCACTAACTGCAACTAAACTGCACTTGTATCTTGAGGGTGAACAGGGAATGGAAAGTAAACTGATGTCACACAAAGTGCTCTGCCCTTGGCATATGTACTGTGCAAGTCAAAGGTAATAAAAGCAAGAAGAACAGATAAAAAAAATCTCCAGAGTAGATTAATGTGTTTCCTTACAAACCTGAGGTCAGGACCATGACCCACATTCAAGGAGTGGGGAGGGATAGTGTATATCATGACACATATACTGGGTCACAGGATGTATATAAGACTTGCCACATATGCTGTCAGTTTGTAATAGGATGTCTCCTTTCTGAGGATACCTCCTAATCTACCCATCTGGCTAAAAGAAATGCCACCATGGCAGCCACCAAGGCAAAAACAAATAAGAAGCCAAAAGAAAATGCAGACAGGTGCACCTGGGCTAAAGGGAAGAATACAAGAGTTTCATTCTGGGCCAGGATTTCTGTTCGTCTAACCCATAAGTAAAATACAGTTCATGCAAAATTCATCACAGAATGTAAGGTGAAAATAAGCTAATGTGTCCCCTCTTTCAAGGATTTAATGAAGAGTACACAGAAGGTAAATATTACACAGTCATGGAAAGACAGCAATACTCACCACAAATAGCAGCTATATGAAGTGGTGTGTATCCCCTGTCATCTCTGGAAAACGGAGTGACAATGGAAGGATCATTCATCTTCCTATAAAACAGGGTAGTTTTCAAGAACATAAGTTAGCTGTATACCAGGTACTGGAGAAAGTTTACAATCACACACACACACACTCTCTACATAGTTTTTAAACTTATTTAAGTTTTCAAACCTATTTATCCTCTACCATTTCTCATTAACAGATTATTCCATATGGGTTTTTTACTAAGCCAAAAGAAAAAAAATCCAGACATCTATTCTTTTGGCTGTGAAATCCAAATTCAGAGAGAAGAGTCACTCTTTAACATGTCCAAAGGACATCTCACTATCTCCCATCTATGGGAAATGGAGCTCCCAGCTTTTCAATACTTTTCTATTCAAATCTGCATGCATAATTCTGACACACCTACAATTTCTTCTGTCCCTCTCAACCTAGATATATACACACACAATCCTAAAATGTAGCCAATATCCTCTCCAACCAGAAGCATTTTCTGGATGAGGTACTGCACATACCAGTATTGCCCTCATACTCTAAAGGAAATCCTAGAACACAGACCTTTAGAAAGCTTTTCATATGAAGACGAAGAATCCTTACCCAGAAACCAGTTTCTCACAATTGTCACAGAAACAGAGTGGGTGGCACATTTTCTGTACAGTGTCTTTATCACTGTCACCTTGACTTAGTAATCGTTCCACTTCCTCCTGGTTACCTGAAGCAATATACTACAAAAAGCCAAGAGGAGAAAGAGTGAGGTATTGATGTGAAGAAGCTTAAAATAAAACCTACTTCATCCACTGAAGCACAAAACCAAAGCAACCGATTATGAATGAAGCACTAGAAGCACTGGTGCAAGGCTGGATAGGGCTGCTGCACATAATCCCCAATGAGTTTTCAGTATAAATAGCCCTTACATCTGATCTTGGTTTGCTTTCCATAAAAAAAAAATTAAAATAAATTTCACATTGTTGTCTTCCAGACTCAGTTACAACAATGACCTCCCTCTGTTCAGACACATTATTACTAGCAGTCTCTAGCCATAGCTCTAAATATGTATAATTAGTAGCTCTGCTTGGTCTTTGCATAGGTGAAATTCTCTTTTTATAATTACACTATGAGATTGATTAACACAATATGTAGGAGATGGGAGGTGACAGCACTTTAGATTTTTTTTTCAGCAAAACTTCTTGGTTTTGGGCACCAAAGTCTCTAGAGACTAACAGCCATTGGCAATGCATCTCTGTTTTAATGGGCTATTGACTATTACAGCAGCACTATTCCAACTCCATTTGTTTCTGTGCTAGAATCTGTAAGAACACATTGCCAACTTGCAGAAGCTTTGGCACAGAACTGCAATGCCCTGATTACCCAAGCACCTCTTTATAGTCTAACATATGGCTTTCTTGGCACTCCAAAGTACAAGCAGCATGGTAAAGTCATTACAAAGTGTGTGTTATAGTCTAGAAAACTGTGTGTAAGATTATATATGTACAATGTTCTGCAATGCAGATTTTTCACCTTGAACAAGCAATCTATTGGGGTCGTGGACATCTGGGATAGCAAGTTCATTCTTTGTCTCAAGAACTTGTCACTAAACCTCTCAGATTCCTGAAAAGAAACAAGCCATGTCAACCAATATTCCCTATATTAGTAAAAAGAAAGTAGTTTTATAAAAAAAATTTTAATATGCAATACATATATTTACCAGCTCTTAGCTTATATAACAGGTTAAACCCTAAAAGTTTGATTTAATACTTAAAATTCTGTATCGATTACTTTGTACATTTGTACAAGAGCATTCCCTGTCACCTAACTGGATGTTAGTCCATAAAATAATCCCAGGGAACACCTTAGACATTTTAGTACTAAAACATCTGAGTTTCATTAACAAAATAAAAATAAGAAAAAACAAAGTAAAAGCAGCTTTTGAGTGGCCAAGTTAGTGAGAGGTGTGCTTCATATAAAACACAGACTAAAGAGGGTGTGCCGAAGAGCAAGATGGACAGTCACAAAACTACTGCCTAAAAACAGGCCTGGGGCAGATACTGTCTGCTGCCAGCCATGTAGCAGCGTCAAGCTGAAGCCCCAGAATCAGAAAGCCCCTCAGAATCATGCTGGCTTAGGCTGAAGGCTTCTCTACCTAACATGGACACAAAATCTGCAAAGTTAGTGCCGGTGTTAATAGTTGAGAAGAAATGGATTTGACCCATTCTTCAGCACTTGAGAATAAATCTCAAAATAATAATTACTGTATTTGCAGGTAACAAATACTAAGCCAGTGCCCTCTGTGCGAAAGTAATAAGGCAGCATATCAAACTGAAGCATTAGAAAAATCAATTCAGAGCAAATGAACACAAGATCACTCAGGTTTCCTGGTGATACTGGAATGTGGAGTCCAGCAGCTTTTCTGGAAACTTGGATCCCTGAGGTTTTCATGTTAAGATCACAGTAGGTGATCTTATGGAGAAAGCCTCTCAAAACCATTTATAAAGCCACCATCACCACTAGAACTACTAGAAACAGAAATCTGTTCTGGTGCTTCTAGATAATTTGGCTATAATTAGGGTTTCTTTCAATAGTTAAACATGTTTGATATAGAGAAATTTTAGGATGAAAACTTGCAAAGGATTGTGAGTGTATGTGATATTGTACTATTTTTCATAAGCCTCACATGAGCTGTGCTCTCCTTACAGCAATTTTATTAGTCACTAAATTTACACAGTTGTAAGATCAATAAAAGGAACTCCATTTGCTTGCATGTACATGAGCTGTTCTCTCCCAAAGTGTGTACAATCTTTAACATTGCTTGTTTTCTTTGAATTTTCCACACAAAATTTTAAAGCACTAACTATTCTAAGAACTTGTTTGGTTTTGATCACTAGTAGCCCCTGTATTTAGTTATGCATGCTAAACCATGGAATAGTTTTTAAACTATGCATATGACTGACCTACAATGGAAAACTCAATACAGAGATTTAAAAACTCAATACTGTGATGTGAGACTAGAGAACATGTATATCCTCTAAATTTGGTTTGGGTTTTAGTTACACACAAAAGATAGCAGGACAGACACCAACATTTTCAAACCTGGGTGCCTAGCCTTCTAGTACCTAAATAGGTAGACAGGTTTTTCAGAGGTTTTGGTGAAGTAGCACCTGCTGCTCCCACTGGATGAGTTGACAGGTAGGTGTCAAAATATGGATTTTAGTGCCTAATTAGAGGCACCCAGGTTTGAAAATGTTGGCCTGAGTGTGTAGTGCAATTGGTCAGAGATTGTAATTACTTGCAGTATTAAACTATCTATGGAATTAATGAACATCAGAAATCCCAGGCAAGTAGTTCAGCACTATTTCCCCCTCCCCCAAATGATGGCAATCCTCATGCTCCAGAACACAGGCTTGTATGAAATATCAGGAAAGATTTTGCCCTGTTATATAATTGGCACATATTCCCACATAGGAATAAAGAGAAATAATGAATGGGTAACCTTCTGAAGCATTGTCTATTGACCATTTCTACAAGCAAGATAATTAATTGAAAGGATAAATTGCATGTTCTGGTTTAGCTACTATGTTCTACACTTCAGTGAGTGAGAATGAGGGTTTCATTTGTTTGAAAGTAGAGCATGGTCCCCTGGATGGATTGTTTTGGTTAGAATTCTCTGATAATTACCAAAAACATTGCTTGTGTTGCAGTAGGACAAGATAGATTGCATTCCCAGAACTTTTAAGCACATATCATCCCTTATCTACACAAGAGAGAGTGAAATATATTAGAACCTGCCTTCAATCCCCTGCCAAAATCCTCAGACAATAACTGAGTCCAGAACAGTAAATATCTCCATTTCCATCAGTGCTGATGTGGGTCACTAGTTAGAGGGGATTTTATTATAATGAACAACACTTTAGACCTGAGGATGTGCAGAACTCTTGGATGGTTGAGGACATGTACTGTCCATGTATTTCAGTGTAAAAGTCTTCTCTTCCCACCCACCCCCAAAAAAGGGGCAGGTGTTGGCTTTCAGAATCTCTGAACTAGAACTTGTTGCTACATTCTGGCCCATTAAATGAAAGCCATTTGTTACTGCCCCCTGCTGCTGGGGCATAATAGTTATGAAGCCCCACTATCCACAGGCACAAATTCAAAGAGGGGCCTTCATAACTCACGTGCTCCTCCAGTCCCTATCCATTTTACCACCCCCACAATAGGTCCATCCAGCTACAGGCTCTTTTCAACTCCTCTCCCAGCTGTGCCTCAATCTCTTCTAGTTTTCTCCATTGTGCCTTTTGTCTTTTCCTCATTTGCTTTTTCAAAGCGCTAAGAGACATATGCTGCCAACAGGCCAGTCCTGCTGCCTGCTATTGCCTTGGATAGGCTGATTCCTCCCTATGTGTTTTGCCCACAGTTGGGTGCTTTAGGGACTGGTGGAGGGAAGGGCTAAGAAGGAGCAGGCTGACTGCTAGCAGCTCCTTCAGAAGCTATCTGTCCCCGCTGCAAGTGGCATCAGGAGTTGTCACAGCAGACCTGGAGATTCATCATTTTTCCTTACCATTTAACTCCTGTTTCCCCCACCAGTACTGGATACCTTGGAATGGAGTGAACGATTCAGCAGGATCCTTTGGCAAGCAAAGAGCCTGAAACTTGGCCTAGTGACTAGTGCCCAGTGCCCCAGCCAGGAAACTGAAGGCCAACTGATTTATTCTTTGCCGGGGCAGAACTAAACAGGAGATTAGGGATCAACACACTCAAATGTTTTCAGTTGCTGAGGGCTGGTGAGACTGGCAGAGACTACACTACTACCTTGAGTTTTTACCCCTTTTTTCTATATACACTGCCCTCCTCCCACCCCATCCCATCCTTCCCCCTTCACTCAGGGAATTTTGCTCTTTCCTGTTCAGTAGCTGCTGGGTGACTTGTACTAGTTCCTGGCTCTACTCCTCAATGCACATGGCTCACAGTGCACTGTACAGAAGCAGTGCCTGTTCTCAGATCCCTTTTTATTGGGGTAATCCAGAAGATTCAGACTGGCCCAGCACCCAACAGAGAAGGGGAGTTTTGGTGAATGGTGGCCCCAATTTCATTCTCCCACTCCATATGAGTCCTGTCCTTTTCAGGCTTCCCTTCTTTCTTAGAATAAACTTTATTGCTGACACCCCAAACCCCAGTGCTGCAGCTGCTAAAGGAACACTATATGATTCTCTGGTTTACACATCCCTAGGAATGGCACTAATTAAGGGGCCACAATGGAGTCACAGCTTTCAATCCCCGATGTTGACAGTGGGAGGAAGAGGGCTCCTGCTGCAGGCTTCCCACACAGACACTGAAGGTGAGAGGAAAGAGAAAATGGTGGCAGGGGGCAGAGAAGAATGAGATTCCCTAGATGCCTGAAGCTGTTCTTGTTGCTCCCTGGTGTTGCAGGCTTTCCTTAGAAGTCAACCAGCTAGGACAATGGAAATGGAAGATGGATGTAGGAAGGAAGCCCAGAGGGAGAGAGGAAAACTAGGAACTACCAGCACATTCAGTCTGCACTGTCATCAGTCATTTGAAAGGCTTATGAACCCTGCAGGCTGGAATCACTACTCTGCTTATACTATGGCTTCAGATTTCAAATGCAACAAGTTGGTACCAGGGAGATACTCTGAGGCACTGCTCAGGTCTCTGGTTCTCCTATTTGGAACTCTGGAAGAATCAATTAGTGTCCATTCTCAAAACAGACATCTAAGATCGGCAGCAATGTCAGAAAATTGGAACAACCTTTAATATATAGTGAGATCTCCTGTTATGTAAAGAATTGCTCTATTCAGTTATGTGAAGACAGATGGGACCAGACTTAGAGGAAGGCAAATTTTATTCTTTTTTTCGGTCCCTTCTTTTTAAATGAGCAACTTGTTTTATATAAAACCTAATTTTGTCTTTTGAAAAAAAGACCACAATCCACCAAATACAGTTTTTTACTGGTATCCTCAATGTTAGTTCATGCACTGTTTTACAAAGAGAATTTAAAAATGTAAATTTTTCTGGACTGAGAGTCAGCTGGAACTATTGCTATTCATATATTACTGAGAATTACAAGAATTTTGAGATAGCTGCATGATGGCTGAAATTAAAAAGGAAAAATTGCAAACTTTGTTTTTAACATTAACACTTTATTATGTTTTCTTAACAGAATTCAATATAGCAATATAACAAGAGATACTAAATACAAAACATCATGTTCTTTTCTAAATGTTCAATAGTTCAGAGTGCCATAGATTTGTGGAAAGATCACCACAGAAAAGCAAAATAGCATATTACCATAAAAGTATTTCTTTAAATAAAATTTTGAAGTTACTCTAAGAGGTTTTGCTTTGTTAAGATTGTGCCCTGGAATTGTCCCACCCCAAACCCTGTACATTGAGCCAATCAATCAAGCCGGCCACAGTAATCCAGATTCCAGTGCTATGCAGTTGATAGATAATTCAAACAAGTCTCAGTCTCTGTGGTCCCATGTTCACATCCTTTGGTTTCCAGGTCACACCGGGAACACCTATTTTTGCAAGAGCAGAAACTCTAGAGTGTTTTGAGAGCTTAACAACCAAAACAGATTACAAAACAGAGTAAACAGACTACAGTACACTTTTTAAAAGCTACTGAGAAGGACTTTATTAAGCAAAACAAAAAACACAACCCTAGGTAGGTTTCTTTTTAGGCTCTCTTCATTTGGCACAAGAAACAAGTGTGATCTAAATTCAAGACCTAGTCTGTTTTCCACATGTAAGAGGCTGGCTCCCTACCCTAAATAAACCACAGGGGCTCTCCTTTGACCATGGCAGCTTTTAAAGTCACATCAGCACTCTCTCTTGATTGGCCTGCAGGGACCTGAGCTGATTGACAGAAGGCATGCTCACCCACCATGAAATTAATTCACTGCATCTGCAGCATTTCTGACCCCTGCTAGGTTAGAGACCCAAGAGCAAACCTGGGCTTCAAACTCTGCTGTCCAGCATCACAGAGCTTTGTGTTACCACTGGGCTATCATGCTGGTGCCACAAAGTTCATTATTTGCATTGCATAAATCATTTGTTAATGTCATCAGCTTCACAAGAGGGAAATCCAAAGCTGGTGCCCACTATTTGGAACGTATAAATGGAATACATTTAGAAGCTGCACTATGTGGTCAAGGCTCACTGAATAATTCTGTTTTTGATCTATAGTGCAACCTTTTTTCTCCCCCACTCCCACTGCTACTATGTAGGTTTTAGCCAGCGTTTTTAAAATAAACATTAAAGAAAAAGGCTGCACAGCATTCTAAGAGAAAGCATGGCACTGAGCTCCGTAAGACTGTATTGAGGTTAAAACCATGCTGCTATCTAATAAGATAACTGATCTAGAAAAAAAGTTCTAGCATTTTCTAAAAAGCTACTAAAACTATTATCAGAGGGGTAGCCGTGTTAGTCTGGATCTGTAAAAGCAGCAAAGAGTCCAGTGGCACCTTATAGACTAACAGATGTATTGGAGCATGAGCTTTCGTGGGTGAATACCCACTTCGTCGGACGCAAACCATTATGCGATACTATCATTTTAACGTGTTTCCTTAGTAAATATTTTAAGAATACAGTTTTAAAGATCAGGTTTTGTAGAGTGTTGTTGTACAACCTGCCACAGCAGTTCATTATGTCATGTAGCCTGAAGCATACAACATCTTGCTAAGTACTGTGCAGTGAGAGTGAGATTTTCACCCAAGGTATTCCACTTTGACAGATAACCATTTGCCTTTAGTTAAATTTGATTATTCAGTACACATTCCTTTTCATATCTAACCGTTGCCAGTTACAGAATGCCATTAATTTTCTAGACCCAAAACTCTAGATAATAATGCTTCAACAGAAACAGATAGAATGGAAAATCAATTGTTAATTCATCCTCAGACTACTGAAAGCCTTTGATCCATATAACAGGCTAGAGTAAGAATTTGGAATTAGATGGCACCTTTAACATGATGTGTCCCAACCTGCTTTATAAGCAACTAGGGGATGGTAAGGTAGTCCAGTGATTTGTCAAGTGAAGCAGCAGATGTTATGTGCTCACCAGTGAAACTCACATTTCCCCCACCCACACTTGAGAAAGATTAGCTAGGACACCAGCTCACTACTCTTTTCAAAGAAGTGAGATGGGATCTTTTGCCTCCCTCCTGGCTGTGCAGGTAGAAGATGGAGACCCTGGGTTTAAGATTTCCCCCCAAAGGATGGAACCTTGCTCTCCTAAGTAACCTGTTGATCACCATTAAGTGTATGAGGAAAGAGAAGGAAAATACCTACCTCTAAAAAGGTATTAGAAGGAGCAGTTAATACTTGTAAGGTGCTAAATATGGTCATAAAATTATCTTACTGTTGGTCTGTCGGAGAGGTTTCCTTGTCGAATATATTCTATAGCAGCCTCAACAGAGGTCAGGCAGTATCCCAGTTCATCCTTTGCTGAACTGCAAAACCTGAAGTTTTTGATGTAACTCAAATTTGCCATCCTAGAAGTAAAGATAAAACACTTATCCTTAAGGATTCATGAAGGTGTGGGAGAGAGGGGCTTATTTTAATATTGCTACTCAGTCTACTCAGAGAGGGGAGAGAAGTGGATGGAACTAGAAGCCAATTCACATTCTCTTATCACAAGGAGCTAGCAACTATATTTACAGACCCCTGAGCTTGTTGAGAGCCCTAGGAAGGAAAAGTTTTGGGTTATTTTAGTATTTGTTTGAAACTGAGAAGAAGGGAGATAATGGAAGAGGCTGAACCAATTGTCCAGCAAGGGGAGATGAGAGCTTACATACAAAATGCCCTGAAACTGCTGGATGAAAGAACGAAGAGTTATGCAAAATATGGATACATTTAGCATTCAGTATGGACACACTTTCCAGGATTATGAGGTGGTGCTAAATTCTATGGTACTTGAAAAACATAAGCACTTCATTAATTTTAGATGCCTTTTTACAAAGAAAGAAAGGAAACAAAAAAAGTCTGTTAAAAGCCACATCCAGGATTGCAATGCTAATGCAACTGTTACATTGCAAGTACATCTAAATGTACAATTCATACTATTAATCTCTAACCCAGTATCCATAAAGGTATGTTAGATATTAGCAGTAAATAGTTAAGTTCATTTCAGCAACATTCTAGTTACATTATCCCTCTGGATATTGATTAATCTCCAGGTGTTCCACACCTTTGAATGTCAAGTTCCCCAGGAACCAAGCTGGGAATTGAGGATTGGTTCCTGGCTGCTTTGAGACTGATTAAGTCAGGAATTTTGGTATGAAATAGGTCCAAAGGTGAAGATGGGTCACATCAAGAAGTCTGGAAGGGGCAAAAAAACAAGCAACATTTGATGTGTGATGGACGAGCTATAAAAAGGGGAGGGAAATGGAAGCAAGGTTTACAGCTCTTTCCCGAGGGACTGGAAACAAGCAAGTTCCTTTTTATTGCTGAGGGTAAAGATCCCTTCAAACCTATTTGAGAAATTGTTATAAAAAACAGCAAGCCTGTCCTTGTAGAGCTAGCTGTTTCTAGAAGAATCTATATTTATTTATGCAGCAACATTATGTACAAGTTACAGATATGTTTGTACAGTAAAAAGAAAGTTACATACCAGTTAGGAATCTCTGTTTTTACAAGCAGATACAGTAACACAGAGAGAAGATCATCTGCACACATGGTCTCCATGTTCACTGAAGGAAATAAAAGAGTTTGTAATAGGAAAAACTTGTGGCTTAAGCCACAAGAGGCCAAAGATAAGAGCCAGGACTGAACGCGGATTTTAATATTTAAGCTTTTTTAAACTCATTTCAGATAGAAAGGTTACTTATTCAGTATTTTCTACTGATACCCTCAACAGGACCCAGACCCACCCATCAGATCATGCACCTTCTAGGTGACCCATGTAGGCCAGCCTATTCAAGAAGTGTCAGCCTATGGTAGAGTGCAAAAAATACCCTGGAATCACCTCTGTCAAACTCTTCCCTCAAGAAGTAAAGGAGTTTCTATGACTCTAGGTTTTGAATAATTACTCTTCCCAAAACCATGCACAGCCCTACAATGGACAGCCTCAGAGCCAAAGAGCCTTCCTTTAAAATAGTAAAATAATAAATAACTTTGTGATGGGGGAGGAGAGACATGGACTGTGGAGAGCTACTGCCTCCTGTTCACTGGAGGGGGGATTTCTTACTTCAGCCCCATTGAACAGTTTGGTGGGACTATACCAACACTCAATATCTGACTTCAAGAGGGTCATGTTTCATTAGAGGGAACTTAATTTCACATCTTCAATGGATTAACAAAAGGCATCATGCAATAATGGGAATAAACATTTATCTTCCAGGATTATTGTTCCACAGTTTTATTCTATTTTTAAGTGTTGTAAAGAAAGTCTCAATTAACTTAACATCCTTTGGGAGTCAGTGCATTTACAAGATTATGGTGGACTCTAAGGCAGATGTCAGGTGCTGTAGCAACTCAACAGCGCTACAATGAATCACTCAACTCCTTGAAGAAAAATATTCCTCTGCAGCAGAAAGAAATCAACATTAGGCCTTTTCTCTGCTGTGGTATCAATGCAAGTCAAGTGTTTTTCCCCCACAGGATGTTTATGCCCAAGGTAAGTATACTACTTCAAGGGTCTGTTTTGCCCAGTGTGACTAGATAGCAAGTGTGAAAAAAATCGGGATAGGGAGTAATAGGTGTCTATACAAGACAAAGCCCCAAATATCAGGACTGTCCCTATAAAATTGGGACACTTGGTAACCCTAGTTTTGCCTGTTGTACTTAATATTCTGCAAGCCAGACCCTTAGTATTCTATTTGAACATGAATTCTTCAACATATAAAAATAATATTAGAGAGTATATATACAGAGAGCACAAATAAAGTTAGAGAGTATATGTAAAGTGCTTTCAAGATGAAGAGTGCCACATATTAAAAATTAATTACCAGTTCATTGCTTTGAATACCAACCTCTTTGGCTAGGAGACTGCATAATAATTTGCACCACTTTTCGAAGACAGATCAGCTTCTGTTGTGGGGAGGTGCATTTATTCAGCTGACCCAATTCTCGCTTTGCACGTGGAATATTAAAGCTATAAAATATTTTTGAAAGATAAAAGCCTTAGTATACAACCCAGATTTATGAGATGTACTAATTAAGTATGCTTGTGCAATTGTTCAAATTTCAGGCAATACCATGAATTAAAGCCCAAGAGGCAGAGTTCACTTCTGAACACCCTTGGAATCAGGGAGATCTGCATTCGAACAAAAGGTGGAACTTGTTGTTCCAAATGTTGTTGAGCACATAAGCGCCAACTCCGTGGGTGCTCCAGGGCTGGAGCACCCACAGGGGGAAAAAAAAAAAAATAGGTGGGCACTCAGCACCCTCCAGCAGCCCCCCGATCAGCTCCCACTGCACCTCCCACCCGCCAATCAGTGCCTCCCCCTCCCACCCACTGGCAGCCCTGCCCATCACTGCCTCTGGGTGATCAGCTGTTCAGTGGCGTGCAGGTGCTGGGGAGGGCGCGAGGGAGGAAGGAGCGAGGGTGGGGAGTGCTCAGGGGTGGAACAGAGATCGAGCACCCCTTAGCACATTAGAAAGTGCTAACCCAAGCTGGTGCCCTCAAACCCTTTACTTTTCTATCTTTTGGAGAAGTGAGAACATCGCAGGGGCTAGTGCAGAAAGAAATGGACTTCCCTCCCCTGGAGTAGCGAGCAGACTTTGGAGAAGAGCTGCTTTTTGGCTGACCTGAGACCTACTTAGCTTTAATCCATTCCTGATGAAGAGTTATTTAGAAGTCCCTCATCATGCAACTCTCACCTGAATTCAGGCTTAACTCCAATATCTTTTTGCTGGAGATCTTGGAGGCTTCTTGTAATTTTGTTAAAGGCTGCATCCTAAACAGTGAATAAAACACAATATTTTTAGAAGCTGTACAAAAGTTGGTTCATCAGTCTTGCATAGATTTTTTTTTAATATAATTAAAGAGCTTACCTCACTCGCCTCAATAGTTCCCACATATTTAAAGATCAGATCATAAATATCATGATGTACATACATCTGGGGAACAAACACCACAGTTTAGAAAGGAAAAGGAAAGAAGAGATAAAAATAACCCATTGATGTTTTTGCCCAGCCTCAGAGACTTACTTCAACTGCTTGTTTCATCAGATTCATCTGAGGTTCCTGCTTTGCAAGCATCCTCTAAAAGATATGGGAATTTATGCACTGAGTTAAATACATTGTCTAAGCAATAGGCAGCTATTTTCACAGTACAGATTTACTGAAGTAGTGCTTACCAAGTGAGAATCCCTCAGTAAATGCTGGAGGCATTTGGTGTAAAGTGCATTAACAGAATCCTGAAAAAATCAAGACATGATATTTTAAAAAGTTGCTATGTTATTTAAATATGAGCAATGCAATATTAGAACTCAGGATTTGTCCTGATTATCTAAGCCAGGCAAGTAGTCCCATTCAATTAGTAAAATGTACTGAAGTGCGGAGACAAGCAGGATTTGATTATTATTTTTTAATTACCAAAAAAAAAAAGCAAACCACCATAATCCTTTACGACTAAATACCCCACATTTTCACAATTCTATTTACAAAATATTTTGTGACATGAAAAGCTTTAATAAAATAAATTCAAATAGTGAACTACCTAGGTACAAACATTAGGTCAAAATTCTAGGTTATCAAAGGTTAAAAGTGAGATACTGACTATGTAATGTCGTAGGCTTTTTCTTTCATGTTCTTTAAAAGTCCTATGGAAAGATGCAATGTGTTTGTCAAATCTTTCAGAATGTCTTCCCAAAAATTCTCTCACATCCTCAATGTTTTTCAGGGAATAAGAATTTGATGGGGTTTTAAATTCTTCTGCAATGAAAGTTAGGAGTTAGTGCACCACAAAGCATCCAGGTTCTTTTTCCATCTGTATTGCAGAATCTGCTCCTATTTATCTAGGCAACTTAACCATCACCTACAGCCAAAGCAAGCTCAACTCTCATTCCCTCCAAACCAGATTTTAACCTTGTAGTCTTCTACTGCTCTTCTGAAGGTGTAGTAAATAACCAGACCAAATAACAGCACTCCTTTAAAAAGAGAAGTTATTTTCAGAAGCTAGATTAAGGTTTACGGTTTGATTCCATATAGGAGTAAATCAGACTCATTTAAACTTATTGTTCAAATCCAGTTTTCACACTTCCCTGCCAGTTATTACTCCACTTTCCCTAATGTCAGTTTCATTTATACAGTTTACCAGACCCTCTGCAAGATAAAATGTGAAAGTAAAGTATGTTGAGCCTTTTAGGGACAGCATTCATTTTTAGAAGTTTCCATTTTGCTTTTTCATTTTATTTTACCCTCGGTGAGCAGCAACGACTTGCCAAAATTCTGCAAAAAAAGCTACATATACTGCTTTAAAGCAGTTACTCTGGCAATATTTCCCTAATCTTACCTACAGTATCTCCAATCCAGAGCAGGAAAGTGTTCTTACTCAGATCCATGTCAAATGCAGCCAGTTTAAGAAGCAAGAATTAAAAATTTTAATACTAAAATCAGGCATCACCAAAAGAAAAGCTGCTACAAAAAACAGTTATCAGACAACTTCTAAATACGGCAACTGCCCACAAAGAGTTTATTCAATCTCAAGATCTCAGTAGAAAGGGGCAACACCATTAATAAAGTGATACAAGTACTAGTTTTAAACAGAGTCAAGACAATAAGCTGTCTGATGATGACCTACCTGAAATTCTAATTCCATGTTGCATTAAAAAACAAGCATTTCACAGAGCTGACTTTCAGTTCAAATTGAGGCCATTTAAAAATAATTTTATTAAGTCTTATACTACATTAAAAAAAAATACCAGCCAAGGTTTAAAGTTTGGTTCTTGCCTAGCTAGATTTAAGGAAACATTAAGGATTTTGAGGAAACATAGTGATAGCATGCCAGTTTAAAAAAAAAAAAATACTTGAGTTTTCCATCCAAAGTACTGCTTTGTAAGACAAACCTAAAATTATACTTAACCCTATAAAATAGAGGACTGTCTTGTTTCACACCAAAGCAGACCAACTGTTGGTGTTTTCCTGGCATTTCTGTACGCACCTAAGATTTCAGATTCTTCCAGGGGATGAGCTATACACAATAAGCTAAAACTTTCTTCTTTTTCATTGTAGAATGTTTCCTCAAAGAGAACAGGTACTGAGAGATGATGATTAAAACCAGTTCCTAAAATAATCAAGTTTCCTTGAATAAAGATTTCCTGAAATTAAAAAAAAAATAAAGTCAATCATAATATTGAGCAGAAAAACAGGAAGTTGACAATTGTAATGCATAGTTCTGTATACTAGGAAAAGAAGGGTGTATTTGTAAGACCAAAAAGACCATTAAAAGTACTTTGTTGTTTTCTGTTTTAGCTTATTATTCAATAAGTCAGTGCTGCAGGGAGTGTTTTTTTTTTTAAATCCACATTAGTAATCTTGGATGATTTTGTGCCCCCGCCCCAAGTTTGTTCTCCACTGCATCTTTTGTTCAACGAAAATTCAGACACATTTGTTCAAGATTCAGAAATGGGTAGGTGCCCAAGTTTTTAGTTACTCAACTTGAGACACCTTAAAAAGGGCTAATTTTCAGAAAATGCCTACTACCCATCTTCTAATAAGGTTATGTCCCTTTAAAAGGTGCCTTGAGTTGGGCACCCAAAAGTCACTAGCCACATTTAACACAAACAACAAAAAACCCATGCTTTTCCACATCCACCTTTAGCATTTTTTTTAAAAGAACTTTTGAAATGCTTTAAGTGCACTGAAACTTATTTTATGGGCATTTGGGACAAAACACCCATTTAAGCAAGAATTCTGAACTTCTTTATTTCAAACTGCACTGGGAAAAAAAAAATAATGCCACTAACTGATACTAGCACGCCACACGGAAGGACTTCTCATTTATAGCAATTAGCATGACTGTCCAGTTTGTTTTAATACATCTTTAACTTTGTAACATTAAGTCACCAGAATGTTTCTGAATCAGTTTGTGCAGAGTGTGAGGCGACTGCAATTTATAACTTAAGAAAAAAAGTCTGAGACTCTGTGCCATCCTCTTCTGGACAAACTTCTCCCTTACTGTCTATACAAGTAAGCTAGAGTACAAGCACAGAACTCAACCCAAAGCTCTCATGGACAGAACAGACAGCCCATCTGAGTTTGTCCTACTAATTAGCTCTATGAATAAATACAAATACTTTGCACAAATGCAGTAATATTAATTTGAAGCTGTATCTCCATTTCCCCTTCTGTAAAATGAGTTTGGAGTTACACTCCCAGTAGCAGAATCAGGAACAGAGACCAGGCCTCCAGTTATCTGCTCTAGTCATTAGATAGTGCTCTCTCAAACTCTGCCTACCCTAGGATCACTCAAAGTTTGGTCTCTCCCCCTTCACTCTCATCTATCATGTTCCCAGGCAGGATCCCTCCACCAGATTTGGTGGAGGGATCCTGTATTAACAAGATTTGTATTAACAAGACAATACCTTTCCATTTAGGGTCTGAAATTTTTCTTCCACTGGTTTTAAAACATAGGAATCAAATTGGCAGGTAGAGAGACTGCTGCTTGAAAGGCTCCCTTTGCACGGTACTAATATCTGGAGAAAGAATAAAATCAGTCAGTTAATCACATGCCTTTGTAGGAGGAAATGCAGTGTGCCAACTGCTTCCAAATCAAACAACCTTTGTTCTGTGTTCCTCATCAAGCACTCTTCATATCAGACCTGTATCATTTGACAGTGCATGTCTATAATTTACTTTTTATTATTATATTATTATTATTAAAGGAACAGAGCCCATAACCAAGATTCCTGCTCAACATCTCAGATCACATAATTTAAAAAATAAAAAATGGTTTTATTTTAGCTGCAAGAGATAGGAGATTATCAGAGTATAGATTTTAAGTATTACAAGCTGGGGACAATCAGAGCACTTTGTACCCAAAAGGAAAGGCAGATGGAACTTGATGCAAAAAAGCAACATCTCTAGCAAGACACCAAGTCATATAAATACAGATCTTATATTGCTGACATTTTTACATTAAATTAAAAACCCGAGACTAAGCAGTTTAAAGTGTTCATTAAGGTATTTTCTTAGACCAAGTGAAAGGCCACCAGAAAAGGGAAAAACAAAACAAAAAAACCATGCATAGTGGGGCCTCCTCCCATTAACAGGTTAGTGGAGCCTTTAGAGCAGTGATTCTCAGCCAGGGATATGGGGCCCTCTGGGGAAGCCACGAGCAGGGTTTCGGGGGGGGGGAGGGAGGGGGTTTGCCAAAATACACCAAAGAGCTGGGCTGGCATTAGATTAGCTGGGGCCCAGGGCAGAAAGCCAAAGCCCGTGCCCCACCACCTGGGGCAGAAGCCCAAGTAACTTAGCTTTGTGGGGTCCCCAGGAAATTGTCCTGCTTGCTACCCTGGCCCTGGTTTTTAATCTACTGGATACGCAGAAAAACAGTTGTTGTGGCACACATGGGGCGTGGGGGGAGCGCTCAGAGAAAAAAGGTTGAGAACCCCTGGTCTAGAGTGAATTATGGAATCAATAGAAGAACATTAGTAGTACTGAACTATACAATCATTTGAAATGAAGTACAGTCTGTTCCTAGCTTGTGTGAGAGAACTTAGTGCTCATGGAAGGTGCTGGATTGATGTTCATACACAGGACACAGCACAGTGACACTCCAAGCTTCCCTCCCTCATTCTGCCCAGCCATTGTGCCTCAACCCTGACCTGGAAGAAATATCTTAAAAACTATTCTCTTATCCACCACCTTGCTAATTCAATCCTCTACATCTCTGCCAGTTTGTACCCTTCGGGGTGGATTCACAATGCAAACATATAGTGCCGGTGCTAGCCCCGAAGCAGGAATATTCCCCCCTCCCAATCCCCAATACTAAAACAGGCAAGTTCTTACAATAAAAAAAGTGAATGGGAGGCCCTCTTGAGCTGCTTGGGGCCCTAAGCAATTGTTTAGTCTGCTTATGCAGAACACTGGCTCTACAAACATAACCACTGGGAGTGGACTGAGGCCACTAAACTGCAGTGTGGTGAAGTGTTAAGAGCAGTGACTTGCAATTGCTACTATCCTCACCAGGATTTGAGCTGTCTGAAAAAGGTTTTAAAAGGAAGAAAAAGTCTGCCCCCTTTGCAATCAAAGTTTTCTTCATTATAACCGACTTGCTCACTGTTTCACTTTGAAGCATTTCTTAAAGTTCAGCCCTTCATTTTAACTGGGATTGGAGAGAGAAGAAAGTGAAAAGATGGAGTGTGGTTTCTTCAGGCACCATAGTTATAAGTAAGGTAACTGGAGAAACCCAGGATATTGCTATAATGGCCTTCAAATTTGAGAAGTCTTCTGCGAATCATTTAGATTGTCTATTGAGTTTGCTTATAGGCTCCCTCGGCAATTGTCAGACCAAGTTTTCAGTACATATTGAGTATGCCAAAGGCGTCTTGCAATTCCAAAAAAAAAGGTAAGATTTACTTGAACCACCAACTTAAAAAAAAAAATAATACACCAAACATCTTTTCAAAACTACTTTAAGAGCCAAAAAGCTATGCATAGTCTCAGTTTCACTAACACCGCTTATCTAGGACATAATGGCGTCCACAACTAATTTAAGAAACAATCTTATAAGAAACAGTTGGTTTTTAGGAAAGATAAAGCAGAATTTTCTTCCTTATGTGGAGAATGAAGCATTAAGTGTTAGATTATCAAATACATAAATTATTCCATTCAGGGCTCTTTGAGCAGAAGTTGAATTAAAAAAAAAAAACAAAAAAAAAAACTTAGGCTATGTCTACACTACCGCAGTAAGTTAACCTATGCTACGTGAATAACGTGGTCGACGTACTTTGGGTCTGACTGTGGGCTCTACACCGCGGGGTGGGGTGGCGGGGTCGATAGGAGAAAGTCTCCTGTCGACTTACCTTACTCTTCTCATTGTGGAGTAGAGTACAGGGGTTGACTGGAAAGCGATCTACTGTCGATTTGGTGGGTCTTCACTAGACCTGCTAAATCAACTGCCAGTGGATCGATTTCAGAGCATTGATCTGAGCTGTAGAGAACTCTTCCTACACAAGACTTTGTTTTTGATATCCACCCTGCCCCACCTCCCACCCCCGCTGCCGACCACCTCAATAGCAAGAAGGAAGTTATAGATCCTCTCCTCCAAATTTGCTTAGTTACAGCAACTCAGATGAGTCAGTCACACAGAAAGAAGCCAATTTACTCAGTCATACAGAAAAAAACCAACAGCTACTTCAAACAGCTAGACTTTAAAAAAAAGTAGCAGCACAGCAGGATTCTGAACAGCCCTAGAACTACAAGTTGAAACGATATATTCAGAGAAGAATAGAAAGTGGGACTGTGACTACCTCTAAGAACTAGTCTGCATAGCTCTTAAAGCAAAGCCTTTCACAAATCTAATACACCTTTCTAAAGCATTTTCACTCTTCTCTGTATCAGCTATGCATTTAAAAAAAATCCGCACACAATGGAGGGACAACTTAAATACTGGGATCACACCAGTTTCTACGTTTAAAGCAGCACTTCAACAAACTAGCTACATGCTAATCTGTGACAGGCCAATATTTCTCTCTGGTAGAACAGTTATACTAATGAGGTAGCAGTACCATTGTTTCTTGCATTCCCAAGTCACTACCATTTGGCTGCTTGCCACAAAAAGGTCACCAGAGAGAGAAGAAAGGTAGTCTTAAAAGGTACCAGGGCAAATGGCATATTAGTTCATACATACAAATTTGCCTAGCTACCATTAAAACTACCTGGTGAATATTTTGAGCCCCTATTCTTCCATCAAGAAACTGATCTAAAATTGGTAATATATATGCCTAGTTTTCAAATGAAAAATAAAAGATTGTCACAGACTACAACGTTGTCTATTCCTGCTGTTCTCTGGAACAGTGCAAAAATTTACAATTTCTCCTAACTAAAACGCTTTCAGTATTGAAAGATACTTTGTACAGAAACACTTCAACTCTTCAGATAAGAGCACTCTCTGGAAATATTAACACTGCTCAGAGAAACAAATGCTTTTATTCTGGAGGCATAAAAAGCAATACCATTAGCAGCAAAATCATCTCCACAAGGAGGTCAGACCTGAGATGAGCAAAGAAGCAGCAGGTACCAGGAATCTTGACAAATTTAAGTTCTGCAAATATTTACATTTCTAACAGCAGCACTACAGTTTCAGACATTCACAAAGCACTCTGACTGGACATTGTTTAGTCCCCTTCTCGCCATTCCTTTGGTACGCAAGAAGATCTTATTACTGAATTAGAAGTACAGTAAACTTTAAAGAACAATTTTAAAAAAAGTGCCTTTTTGTTTTGTGCTGCCAATATTTAAAAGTTTAAATGGAGCAGTTTATAGAAACTTAACAGGCACAGTGTCAAAATAACATTTTACACTGAAAGCCTGTTCCAACAATACTGTGCAATGTCCTCCTACATTAGTTATAGAAAAACTGGATACTGCACAGGCCCACTTGTGTATGTGGACAAGGTTAAATGTTAAACTATTATTAATACTGATTTAGGACAAAGCCTGTGTAAAAAGTTATGCCTCTCCCCCAATTCCCACAAGAAGAAAAACCAAACAATTGCTTTCATACTCAACATTTCTGCTCAAATCCCATGAAAGTGGTAACCCCAATATTTCAGTTTTCTTACTCCATGTATTCTACATACTGCAGGTCACACACACACACACACACACAATGTTCAACAGATAGTTAAGTTTCTAAACTTTGAATACCACTGATGCAGAAATGATTTGACACTTAGCCCTAATAATGCATCTTAAAAAAAAAAAAGCTTTCTCCAAGATTTTAAGATAAATAGGCTAACTAATTTTTCCT